GCCCGGAAGAGATAAACCTAAGCTCTCCAGTGTTACGTGGGTTTTTAGTGGGCGGCAGACAAGCAGCGAGTCGTGAATATTCTTCGGAGAAGGAAGGGTACTTCCGGTACCACGTTGCTTTTAGGAGCAGCCCAATGAAACACCGAGGATTAAAGTGGGAGGGGAATAGGAATTCCGCCCTGCCGTTCGACATCATGTTCGTAGCTTTGTTTCCTGACCACCTCCCTGGGAAAAGATGGTGGAAGGTAGCAGAATATAAGCTCTTTTCTTATCCCAGTGCTGGGCTCAAGAAAGTTCTTCTTCTAATGGCTGAATTGCCCTCGAGTACGAGCACGGGGTGGATGATGTTGATCAACTCCGAAGCTTCAAAACAATCTCGTTAAGTACGTTGATCGAATCATAAGACCAGTCGGCGGAGTCGGAAATCAGATCTATTGGATGTTCTACCGCATGGGGAATCCATCCACCACAAGCCTTTGATGTCCCTGTCCACGACAAATCTGGTCGACGAACGCCTCCTTTTTAGGTTGGAAACCTGCTTTACTCATTTTCTGCAAACTTTTCTGCGGCCATCGTTCTGCACAAGTCACCGGCTGAATTCATCAAACAGTTCCCATTTCGGATTTGCTGGCCAACTCTGCCAGGCGTGTTTGCGCAACAACAAACTCACTCGAAGAAGACGAAGGGTCGATGAACCCATCCGTCGCACGTGATCAGGTTGAAGCTTCACGTTGACACTTCTGCCTCTTGACGTTACATCTCTTGTTAGATATTGGCACGTAATGACACGACCATTTTAGTAAGTATCCGAGGAGTTGCATCGCGGTTTCTCAAGTCAAAGAAGAGTCGGCGTGCGCTCCTCACCCTCCGCTGGCTGTTACATCGGTGATCCTGAGAGGGAAGACGATGGAGACCACACGTGCATGGCTCGACGTCGATCTCGAATCGGATCTGAACCCTTCGTTCTCCGGTCGACAGAGATCTCGACCGTGCATTCATGATAACGCACCCGGGACGGAGACGAGAAGGCGAGAATGACTGATCCCCGCCGCGTGCTCTGACCTTGGTCGGTCGACGTCGACGCCCGGCCCCGACGACCTCCTCCTCCTCCCTCGCCCCCTCTGCGGTCAAACCTGGTGAGTCATGCGATGGGAGCTCGAAACGTGCGTCGATTCCCCGCGGGGCCCGCGCGCGCCGAACAATGGCCCCCCCGAGATCGTAATCCCGCGTGTCGCCTTCGGGCCGCGCGCATTCCTCCCCGACGAGAAGATTCCGCGCATGTAAGTCGCTGTCCGCCGTTCATCATCGACAACTACTGCAACACGAGAAGCTATATTCCTCATGGAGTCTCCGCTGTTGCAGAAAGCTTTTCTTCCTTTTGTCGATGCGGATCAAGGTTAACAGCTACTGCAGGATAACGAGTTTGGTGGCCACATGAAATCCCAGCGAGCATGGAACGAGGTAGAAATACGTCGCTAGCCGTTTGTCATACTCCACACAGCCGTATGGATTCAGCATTCCTCCCCGTGTCCGGTGGATGCTCGAAGGCCACAAAGAAAATGGAGTCATGGGGTCATCTGTCATCCGTTACGCATAGCATTCACTTTCGAAGGTCTTCACGATGATGATGTTGAGCTACTCCACTGGTAAAGTTGCGCTTCCATTTCCATGGATGGGATGAGGAGGAATCGAATGATTGAGATAGCAACCGAGTTGCATTCCTGGCAATGGGTCCCTGCATTAGCAGTCGAGTGGAGTGCATAGGCATCACCTTCGTCGGCTTAGGGTTTGGTTCCACATATATGAACGGGGTCCTCATGTACGGTTTGGACGTCCATGCAAAGTTTATGTTCTTATGAAAGACAGTCGAAAATATGTTATGAGATTAAGCAGATGAAGTTTGTAGTTAGCAGTCACCGTTCTGCACTGAGAGGAGAAGTTGGATAGGTAAATCGACAATGCCACGGCCATGTTCTGGGCTTCTTCTTTTCTTCCATAAAGAGAAGAAAGAACCTGAGAACGCTTTCTCTGCGTGTGAGAGAGAGAGACTGGGGTGGCCGATATCATGGCCACTTTGCGACCACTTTATCTCTCTCATTGCAGAGAAACTTCGAAGTCCCACTCGATGATAACAAGATCCTGCAGCCATCCTCAGCCATCATGATGACCTCCCAATCCATGATGACCACCAACAGGCGTCAAAGCCAAATCCATGCTTTCGTATGGACCACCGGCGCCACATAGCCTGGACAAAACAGAAACAAGAACAAACTACAAGATGCATGTCAGCGTCTCATCTCTTTCGTGGCAATGGGTTTGCGAGGGAGGCTGCTGCGCTTGTGGCGTCGTCGCGTGCTCTTTTGGAGGGATAACACAGCACGTTTTAAAGGAAAAGGTGGGTGAGAGCGGTTCAATGAACGCATGTAGGGTTTTGTTCTTCCGTCCTGTTTCGGGGGTCCCCTTCGTGGCCGCTCGCCATGCGAAGATATGGTTCACACTCACAGCCCCCCTTCTCTCCACACCTGCAAAAGCAGAGCCCCATATGTCAATGATCATGAACATCACACACACCCTGCCAAGACTCCACGAATGACATCTCTGAAATGGACCCTTTAACCCTTGACCTCACATCTCTCTCTCTCTCTCTCTCTGCAGAATTTTACTTTAGAACACTCATTGTACCACAGTCTTTTATCACATAGATAAAACACTTACCATAGGAGAGAGACTATTAAGTAAATCACCTTAATATCAGTATATGTATCTCTTGGTGTTCTTTCCATAATATTGTTGACAAAATATAACTTTATATTACTAGAAAAATAGTAGGGCCATAATTTTCAAATTTATTTTACAGATCTCAATAACGATAAAAAAAATTTATGTTGTTATTATACTAGATTTGAATATAACACGAATTGAATGTTTAAGCTTTTGAATTGGATTAGCGCCGATATGAAATTATTTACTTGTTTATAGGGTTCGAAGAGAACACCATATATTTTTAACTTCTAATTGATAAAATTTGAAAGTTAAAGAACATAATAATTGATAAAAAAATTTATTGGATTATTATATATCGTGAGAAACGAAACAAAACTATGATGATCAGACCATTTTAAGATGATATCAAAATAAAAGGTCCTATATATATATCCCGATAAATTCAAGTTTCGCATGTTAAGTCTAGCATAAGCGTCGAAAATATAGATAATGTGGAAGAAGCTTTCGGTATAATAAAAAAAAAAAAAAGATAAATAAATTAGAGAATATATATCATGATCCACTTACACTTGCAACTTTATTTGATCCATCAGGTGTGCAGTCGACAATGCAATGACAAGTTAGAGAATATATGTAGATATCATGACCCACTTTACCACTCTGGTTTGATCCAGCAGGTGTGATTGCTTCTTTTCACCCCTCCATGCCTGCATGAATTGGATGATGCAAGAATCATTTGTCTAATGAAAGGGGCCTATGTTGCTTGGCTAACACAAAGCCCTCAGCAACCCCACCTTGTCCATCCTTTCCCTGGAATGGATATAAACAAGTGGTAGGTAGCATCTAATGGTGTATGTTTAGCTCATCAGAGAGCGTCAAGTGTCCCATGCGGAGAGATGCTTTACCAAAGCAAAGATGGTTCCTTTGCACACCAACAGCTAACACAAGATTTGATTTGTTGTGATGTCCATCATGTTCGTGGCCCCACTTTTCTCCCTCCTCCTTTTATTGCTTTCATTCCCTCGGCAGCTCATCAAAGAATGAGAGGAATTTACACAGACAAAAAGGAGTACAAACTTTTCTTGGTCCTCTTCACCTTTTACCCACTCTCTCTATCTCTGTGTGTGTGTGTGTGTGTGCAAACAAGCGAGGCGGAATAGCGGCAGCCATGGCGCTTTGTCATCATCTCCAAATCAGCCATGGTGGTGAAAGAGAAGAGACTTTGTGAGGACTCCATCAGCAGCAGAAAGAAGAACGGTGTAGGATCTCCACTTTGAGCTGTGTCCATATGCTGCCGATATCAGCTTGTTAGGTAGTACGCGTGTTTCTAACTCGGCAACTTTGATTCTGCTTCTTTGTAGGTAAAGTGCTTCGATTGATGTCAGTAAAATAAGCTTAAATTGCTCCAACCAGATAACTTTAAGTATCCATCCCTGAATCGGACGGGGACGTCTCCATCCAACCTCGTAAACAAATCTAGCAGAGAAGCCACCCTTATCTGCACTTCGATAACAAAGCAGCAGATGGCCAATTCTTGGCCTGGCTTTATTGTTGGAACATGTGCTTGACAGTGATTTCATTACCATTAAACCGAGGATACGTATCTGCAGAAATGGCAGGGTTTATGCTCGGATCCACCTCAATTTTCTAGTACGTTCGATCTCACGACCTGTCCGTGAACAGATGATATGCACGGAGAAGAGGCATGGCGAGCTCGAAGAGGATGATGTTACACAACCCAGGAGCATGAAAAGATGGAAAAGATGGTTAAGGTAGACCATCTTTTGTAGGGTTTAGGGTGCAGATGACCGACAAAAGAAGCACTAGATCCATACAGTGATACTGATTGCCCGGCTCGAGAAAGTTGCACGTCCTCGCAGCTCGAAGCACTGCCAAAGGGAATTTTCTGTGGCAATCCTGTGGCACAGTTGATGTCAGATTCGTGTTTCCACTGCGGATAGATATATCATCGACCCCAGCCACACCCCGGTTTCATGATGATATGAAGGTAAGGTGGGCTGCTATGAGCAGTCTCCACCATGAACGTTATGCAAACAGAGGTTTTTTTTGATGGAGCAGAACCACTTGAACCCAATGCTGTTGCCATGTTTACATGAAACAATGATTGTTGAATCCGAGTCATCGAGGTAGATCAACAAGACCATAATCACATCACTGCTGACTGAAGCTTTCCAGCTATTTCGAATCAATATCACTACATATAATTGTATTTATTTCCTTAATTTTAAACACATAAGTTGAAAGCTTAAGTTGACTTACAAACAATGAGTTTTGATGTCTTCATTTTACAATTTTTTGATAACCACAGTATGCTACAAGTCTTTGATCTTTCAACAGACCGGAAAAATCATGAAAACTCAATACATATCACCACCAGTTTATCAATCAAGCCTACCCAAGGAAGAACAGGATATAATCAAAACTCCCAAATTTAAATTATGCCCATGGACATGGTGCTGCAAGCCTGATGACAAGGAACTGATGATGAACAGGAACATCCTAAGAAAGCACAGAACTTGTCATGTTTCTGAAGTCCAGACCTTTGGAGAAAAATCTCACAACTCTAATTTAAGAGAACATAAATGTAGAGCACGTAATGAATGTCCATTTGCTATCCCAAGCCAAAAATTGAAGTGAACGATAAGTCTGAAATATGGAGGAGCTGCTTCATTTCTTCTTTCCTGCCTTCGCAGCATCGCCGGCCTTTGTCTGGACAAGACAAAATGAAGAGTAAGCATTTTTCTAGTGCATCAAAATCAGCTCAAGAACAATTGGCAAAAAGAACAAGACAGTCATTTGCTATCCAAATATAAACAAGCACAAATCCGTTTGCCTTGGTTAAATTGTGAAGATGTTTAGCTCACCTTCTTGACTCCGCGAACTTTCTTTGCCCTGTTCTTCCTTTCTTTCATCTGTTTTCTTGATTTCTCAACCTTTGTAGCAAGCCCATTCTGCCAAAGAAAATGGAGATCAGTAACAACCTTTTGTCCAAAGACACTAGTGTCCAAGCAGATCATTTGATTCAGCAGTGCATATTTCCAAGCAAGAGTCTGTGATAGCTACCAAAAGCATAAGCTTGTTTGCAATATCCTAAAGTTGTAGGTGTACATTAGATCCGACATATCAGGTCTGAGGTATCCCATCTTCAGTTAATATGATCCATGCATCTAATGGTGATGCATGCAATCACTAGGTGCATCCAGTCGTGCCTCGATGCTAACAGTACTTGTTGCTAAAAAAAGTTCTCGGTCCCTACACTCGAAAGGAATTACCAAGTCTTCATGATTATCTAATTAAATAATTGACATAAAAGATGCAGTTATTCTTTTGTTCATTCACGACAGACCACAAAGTTATACAAATGATATTCAAGGTTAATAACATTTATCAATCATGTAGTTATTCACAGTAATTGTATATCTTGTACAATGGAGTTCAAGTTACCTGTGAGATTCCTACACGTCAGTTATTAACAGCATAACTTAACATGAAGACAAGCAAGGCCCCTTGTGTCACTATCCCTTTTGTCACAAGGTTATACAAATGGTATTCAAGATTCCTAACATTTATCAATCATGTAGTTGTTCACGTTCAAGTGACCAATTAGATTCCCACTTGACAGTTACCACAGAAAAAATTTAACATGAAGGTATGCACCGCAACCCCTTCCGTCACTGTCCCTTTGGACCTTCACTTTCTGTTGTTTCTCTATCCAATTTCTGGTATTTCATCCCCAAGCCCCGATTTCCTGTTAGATTTTTACTCCCTGCAACTTCTTTTCAATGCTATAGCACAACCGTAGTCTCTTTTGCTACTAGTTTTGGTTGTTTCTCCGTTTGTTTTCTGACATTTCGTCTCCAAACCTAGATTTTCTTTCAAAATAATTAGTTCCTACACCTTACTTGTACTGGTACAGCACAGCAGAAGTATGTTTTGCTATTAGTTTTCTCAACCACAACCTCCATATCTGCGTAAGTAATGATAATACAGATGTATAAATCCATTTGTAGCTTGAGTGTAACTGATCAGATCCTGATAATATAGATGTATAAAGCCATTTGTAGCTTGAAGGTAATTGATCAGCTCCTGAAATTTTGTATTATATAACAGCCTCAAACGACCCTGGGATACCAACGGCGGAATCAACAGCCTCCACCCCATTACTTCTTTCGGAGTATAATTCTAATTAAAAAATCACAAAGCATACAAAGTAAAAATTGACCCAGAAATTTAAGATTTAATTAACATGACGTAGTGTGGAAGCAAACTTTCTGATGCGACAGCATAAACTTCATTATGATTGTATTAGTGACAGTTGACAAATTAACTAATTCAACAAAAACTGAGACAGTTGAAGATGACATCTCCTCTTAATTGCATAGTTTAGTAGACAGATCAGATTCCACAAATACAAGCAAAAAACAGTGAAAACCACAATACAAGGCAAACACAATGGTCCCCACAACCAGGCAGTACAAGGCTGAAAGAGATCTTTCGGACCAAAATTTTGTACTTCAGAAATGATGAATCCATTGAGCAGGAGCACTAATTTGTTGTACTTAAATCCGAAGGATAGATTGGTGATTATTGAAATCAAGCAAAAATGACTCATCCAGCCACATTATGCTAGTTTACTCATCTTATCAAGAGATGATTAATGCCCTAATTGCAATTATAACTAGAAGAACAAGATTTATAAGTTTCAACCCATGGCACTGTGTGAGTGCATCGCAAGCTTGGGTTACTGCTTATAGATGGTTGAAAGAATGGCCATATACCTCGTCAAAGATAAAAGAAACACCCCTATCATGCGAAGCAGACTGTCAAAAGCCAACAAAAGATCAGACCCACAGGGAATGTTTATTGCTAATCTTGAACCAAGCATTGTCATTTGACTATACACTGGATTTATACGAAAAGGATGAAACAGTTTATGCAATCAAATTCTTCAATTGGACTAAAAGAACAGGGGTTTAAGAAGCTGATCATTCCATTATAGCCAAATATGGCAAAAGGTAGCTGAGAGGCTTGCGATAGAGAGTGCTTCATAAGGCACAACAAGCTGCCACTCCAATGGAAGACAAGCCGAATGAGAATAAAGAAAAGCAAGTGGAAGGCCATGTTTTAGTCTCAAGTTAATAATACTGCGGTCAGGATACAAGGATCACTCCAAGAAATCCTATAAAAATATCCAAGAGGATGCAACAGAAAAATAAATGTCCTGCTTAGGGGATAAACATGTGAAAGACTTGTTAAACAGAAAGCATGCTCCTAACACAATAGAAACATAAGGTGAGATAAAAGGTGCATTTTAATTTAATAAAATAAGAAGAAGATGGACAAACTTTGTACAGATAACTTGTAAACTTAAAAGGCAGAGAAAGGAAAGTTAGATGAAGAAATCAACTTTGCACCAAATAAAGAGCAGGAGATAAATGACAAAGTTACCATCTCGGCTCAGCTGAGTTTGATTGCTTATATTCCCTAGGTATCGATCAATCCTAATATAATCACAATTAAACTTCATAGGAGTATAGTGGATTTCAGTATATTTAGAGCCGAACCCAAGCAATAACAACAGATTTTAAACTGTGACTGATATATAAACAAATTCTGGAACATCCTGCCCAACCTAGCTTGGTTCTGAAATTCCATAATGAGATTTCAATTTAATTGACCTTATGCCCTGCAACAATTTAAAGCTTATGCCTATAAAAGGTCTGAATAAATATCTAACAGGATCCATGTTTAGTTAAGGCTTCGGTTTATTCATAGAAACAGTTAGGTTAAGGTTTTCATCATCATAGTCTAGTAACAGGCCAGTCATCTATGGCATTTTGTAAAATTTTCCGGGTCATCATAGTCGATGTTCCTTTAAATTTTGTTGGCCCAAAAATATTTATTTGGTTCTTAATAAAATTATACCATTTCCTGGTGGTCAGTTGATGTGACTAGAAAAAGGATCATGAGACCTGTTTAATACCACTTCTGAATCTCTTATTCAACTTTCCCATGCAAATGAACATAATTCCTTTTTTTTTCCAAGAGCTATCAAAACAGCGCCAGATGATGCCTGATTGCAAGTTTCTACCATAATGACTTTAGCAATTTCAAAACCAGTTAACATCCAAGAACAAATTTTGATACAATGCAACAAGACCAAAGAACACATATCAGGCGTTACCGACTAACGTAAGAGTAGAAGTGAAAAATAAACTGCAGAATGAAAAGATCACGATAGCACTGGATCAAGCAAGCACTAGAAAAAGAAGGGACGGGAGCTGGTATGAATGCATACCCTGATGAGCCGGTACTTGGGCTCATACTTCTTTGCATTCTCCACCGAATCATAGATCAAGCCAAATCCGGTCGACTTCCCTCCTCCGAAGTGCGTTCTGAACTTAAACACGAAGATCGTGTTCAGATCCCTCACCTCGTATAGATTCGCCAGCTTCTCCTTCAGTTCCGCCTTCGCCACAACCGAATCACACAAACAGTAGAAACGTAACTCAGATATCCATATAGAGCAACAACAAACAAACAAACAAATGCAACCAATCCCAAAACCCAAAGGCACGCGAACCGACCTTCGAGACATTGGCTCTTCCCGGGTGAAGCACATCAATGACCTAGAAGCAAATACATACAGAACCATAAAAAAAATCCTTTTTTTTTCCTCCTTTTACATCAAAACGCACTCTGAGGAGAACAAGAAAGAGTTCAAAAACAAACGAATTGCTTCCTGGAGAGGAGACGATTGGTCATAAACTTCCTGGTCCGGATCGTGACCGCCTTCGCATCCGCCATTCTCGTTTCCTTCTTCCCTGAGAAAGAGGCGGCCACCGACGCTGGCAAGCAGGAGAGAGACGGAGGGAAGCGGCAGGTGTTCGCGAACGGTATATCTAAACCCTAACCCTAGCCATCGGCCGTTCTTGATATGGGCTTTCATTGTGGATCGGCCCAACAAGATTATAAATGGGCTACGAACCGACATCATTCGATTTGGAAAGAATGGATCGGATCGCTATTTGGGCTATCGGATCTTAAATTCGAGCGGTATCCAATTTGTCGTGGAGAATCTCTCAGTAAAATAGCACGTGAAATCAAGCGTGAAGGTTTGGCATCATGACTATAAGATTTGTAATATCGTATCGTACCGATATGTCGACTTGGGTTCGGTACCAATACGATACGGTATACCGAGCGGTACACCCAGGTGTACCGTTCACTCAGGTGTGTAAAGTATTGTAGCACTGCTACAATGCACTCAGACCGGTAACAGACGGTCCGCGTACCGACAACCTGTCGGATCGGTACGTACCGCCCATACCGGACGATACGGTTCGGTACGGTAGACCCTGGATGACTATTCTTTATTTTATTTTTTCGTCGAAGATAAACCTAATTATTTATTAATAAAAATATCTTTATTTTTTCCTATTAATTCATCACAGTCGCCTCAATAAATGTTTTTATCGAAGTAAAAATATAAGATAAATAGATTATATGAGTGGATGGTGAAAGAGTTGGCAATAGGAATATTTCAGTCCTTCTTCAACCATCCATACATTTTAGAAGAAGACATGGGGATGACTATCTCTTATTTTCTTCTCATGAAACTAAGAAGCCTTTGAAGTCAAAGGTGCCATCTTATTCTAGAAAAATGCCAGGGAATATCTTCCATCCATTTAGCCATTGATTTTAGAACATTAAATTCAGCACAATATATATATATATATATATATATATATATATATATATATATATATATATA